ACATTTTTCTCTCTCTCTGTCCGGGACCCTCTATTGTGAACCCTGTCAGAGCAGTTGGAGGTGGTAGCCAGGCACCATGTAGTTCTTCTGGGCTCAGACTGGTGGACGCTGTTGTTCATGTGGTCCATTAGACTTTTGAACTAATGTTTTCTTCATTCTCCTTTGCTCCAGACCAGTAGACGTATCTTAGATGGCCACTCACAAGCTTTTAGGACCCCAGATGCTTCTCTTCAAAGTAGGATGTAGAACATTTTCTTTATGAACTATGTTATGCCAGTTAACCTAGATATTCCTCAAGACCATGGTTCCCAGCCCTCAGCCCCAGTAACTCGATCTCTCAAGTTGTTTGGTTGTGTCTAGGAAGCTTCTATGACTTTGTCTTGGTCAAGTTATGCTGATTTCCCCTACGTTGTATGTATGTTGTCTTACCCTTCACCAAAGTTAACATTTATCTACTATCTAGTTAGTGATTTCCCATCCTCACCCCTCTCCTTCCTTGTAACCGTCAAAGATTGTTTTTTTTTCTGTGTGTAAACCTATTCTTGACTTTTTATAATAGTTGTTTCATACAGTATTTGTCCTTCTGTGATTATTTCACTCAGCATAATGCCCTCCAGATTCATCCATGTTGTAAGATGTTTCACAGATTCATCATTGTTCTTTATCGTTACACAGTATTCCATTGTGTGTGTATAATATAATTTGTTTATCTTTTCATTTGTTGATGGGCACTTAGGTTGTTTCCATCTTTTTGCTATTGTGAATAATACTGCAATGAACATGAGTGTGCATATGTCTATTTGTGTGACAGCTCTTATTTCTCTAGGATATATTCCTAGTAGTGGGATTGCTGGATTGTGTGTATTTCTATTTCTAGCTTTTTAAGGAGGTGCTATATCATTTTCCATAGTGGTTATACCATTTTACATTCCCACCAGCAGTGCAGAAGAGTTTCAATCTCCCCGTAATCTCTCCAACATTTGTTATTTTCTGTTTTTTTGATTAGTGCCAATAATGTCAGGGTGAGATGACATCTCTTCATATTCCTTTTAGAATAAAAACAATAAAAAGTATGTAAAGGGAAGTTAAGTACATAAGTAAATACACGAAAATGGTCCATACGCTATTTTCTCAATTATTTGGGGGTAGATATCATGGTGTAGTGCTAAGTCAGACACAAGCAGACTCAAATCAGGTTCTGTCACATACATACTAGCAAAGCTAACTTAATCTAACAAGTGGATATTAATACCTGTCTTAAGGGATGCTTTGAAGAGTAAGTGAGATAACATATACAGAGTATCCACTGCACTTGGCATGTAGTAGGGGCTTAGGTGTTGTTTTCTTCCTATATTCGTCTTCAAAAATCAAATTATGTTTTCATAGTAGAATTTGTTAGTTAAAATGGTAGTTTTTTTTTTTTCGTTACACCTGTTCATTGGCTTGCCTTGGCTACACTGACTCCTGCTGTCTTATTTGAGTTGCCTTCCTAATGCCTAGCACATTTGCTTACATGTTTGCTCAGTGAATGAACTTGGAATTTGTCCACTTCCATCTCTCTCTCTGTGCCTTCAACATCCAACCTTTTTCTCACTACCAGTCCAGCCTCTCCTAGTCCTTCAACACCCTTCAAATCTCACCCCCATTATGAAGCTTTGGATAATTATAATTTGCACAGACTGGTCTCTTGCCTTCTACCCAAGTGGTTTTCAAACTATTTTCAGTAATAGCCTTTTCTCAATTGAAAAATCTTGTGGCATCCTAGTTTATAAAACAGATAAAACAGGAGCTGTTCTTCCCATTTGCCCCTACCCCCTCCATCTTCCATGATACGGATCTCCTCTGGGGTATCCCATATTTTGTGAGCCAAAATTACACTCAGCACACCACCTTGTTTTATTCACTAGTTGTCCCTTGTGTTCATATATGTATCTTGTTTTCCCAACAGAACTGTAAGATCCTTTAAGGCAGGAATAATGTCTTACCCTTCCTTCTTGTCTTGCATGAGACTTTACACAGGTGCTGGTGCTGAATCTATAATAAGTGCCCAACAAGTGTTTATATTTCTTCTGCTGTTTCTCCTTCTCTTCTTGAGCTGACGTTAAGTGAAGTGAATTAAAATTTTCCTGGTTGGTATAGGAGGCCTATCAGGAGAGCTTATGTTATGAACAATTATTAAGTGCCTGGTTCTGTGCAGGAGTCCCTGAAAAGTTCTGTGCAATGGGTTAGCACTCGACTACTAACTAAAAGGTTGGTGGTTTGAACCCACCCAGAGGTGGCTCAGAAGACAGGCCTGGTGATCTGCTTCCAAAAGTTCACAGCCTTGAAAACCCTATGGAGCACAGTTCTACTCTGTATCCATGAGTTGGAGTTGACCCAATGGCAACTGGTTTTGTGCAGGCACTCCATATACATTGCCTCATCTAGTCTCACCACCCTGCAGGGTAGATATCAACATTCCAGTTAGAAAACCAAAGTGC